GGTCAGTACAGGTGCATCAAAGCTGGGACTGAGAGAATGAAAAACAGCTTCTATCTGAAGGCCATCCGACTGTTAAATAGCCATCACTAGCACATTAGAGGCTGCTGCTGCCTATTGAAATCACTGGCCACTTTAAGAAATGGAACACTAGTCACTTTAATAATGTTTACATAACTTGCACTACTCATCTCATATGTATATACTGCATTCTATTCTATAATATTCTACTGTATCTTAGTCCATGCCGCTCCGTCATTGCTTGTCCATATATGTATATTTTCTTAAATTCCATTCCTTACTAGTTTTGTGTGTATTAGGTATATGTTGTGAAATTGTTAGATATTACTTGTTAGATATTACTGCACTGTCGGAGCTAGAAACACAAGCATTTTGCTACACCCGCTATAACATCTGCTAAACACGTGTATGTGACAAATACAATTTGATTTGATTTGATTTGATTTGATTTGAAGAATAGTAGAAAACACCAGGTGCAATCAGCAGTTTTTCTCTTGTTATATCGGTCACTCAATTAGCTGTCAATTAGCCATGTAAATGTTTGAATTGGTAGTTAATCCAGCCAGCTATCGAAACTTGTAGTAATCATGGCCGAATATCGACCAGGCACGCAGGGCACGTGGCCAGGGGCCTTGACTTTCAGGTGGCCCCCATTGATTTTGTTATTCATTCTCACTCAGATATCGTATTAACATGGCATAAGTCATAGCAAAATGTGTAGAATTGTAAGAAATTAGCTTTAAAACTGCAAAAATATATCTCAACCCCATGGCAAAATGGGTAGAATTGCAGGAAATTAGCTAGCTGTAAAACTGCAACAACAAAAAAAGATGAGTAGAATTGCATTCAATTTGTAATAAAATTGCTACATTTTCACTCCGCCCCATGGCAAAATGTGTTGAATTGCAGGAAATGAACTTTCAAACTAAAATGTTTCTCTCCGCTGTCAAGAGAGGAGTCACTCAAATATTTTGCCAGTGAGGGGCCCCCTAACCAAATCTCACTTGGGGCCCCTAAAAGGCTAGAGCTGGACATCCACAACATGTGGATGGGGATGGCCCATCCCTGGTTATCCCTATCCACAACATCCTAGCAAGCTGCAAGCCTACTTGATAATAGCGCTCACCGTTGGCCCTAGTGGGGACCTGGACGAACGTCGAATATTGCCTTGGATCTTGAGTGACCTGGCTGCCATATATCCAGGAAATCACGAGCTTGCAACAACAAGAGCTCTGGAGTGTTTTAATATGGTTATAAATGAGTTGTACTTCAAATATCTTGTTGATCAGGGTAAAGTCAACAGTGCTGGGTGCCATTCATTAATCTGCAGGGCCTGGGGCTGACATGTGAGAGGGCCAGGCTGCCTGAAACTCCTCACACTCACTGACACCCAAGCCCAGAGTGGGACACAGCCAAATCTCACAGTCTCCTCCACCCTCTCATACTCAATCCATCACTCTCACAGCCTCCACAACTTTCTTGCAGTCTCTATCCTCTGTCCACTACACCCACCTCTCCTACTCTTCAGTTGTCCTGCACTCAGTTCCCTCCAACTTCGCCTTCTCAATCCCCACCTCTCAGTCTCTATCTCGCTCTCCTCCATCTCCTTGTCAGTCTATTTCCCCTTATACTGTACACTCTTAGAAAAAAGGGTTCCAAAGGGGTTCTTTGGCTGTCCCCATAGGAGAACCCTTTTTGGTTCCAGATATAAATATTTTGGGTTACATGTAGAACCCTCTGTGGAAAGAGTTCAACACGGAACCCAAAAGGGTTCTACCTGGAACCGAAAAGGTTCTACCTGGAACCAAAAAGGGTTCTTCAAAGGGTTCTCCTATGGGGACAGCCGAAAAACCCTTTAAGGTTCTAGATGGCAACTTTTTTCCTAAGGGTGTACTCCTCAACACTTCACTCTTAACATCTGTCTAAGGCTCAGTGGACCCTTTGCAGATGCCCTATCATGTTTTTGGATGGCGTTGTTAGCCAAGTCTAGCATCACAGCCTTGATCATGTCATGTAAACATTAACAGTACTATATACAACACTATCTGTATCAGGAACCCTTTTGCAATTGCAATCAGAGGCAAAGTATTTGTTTCATTTTTTCAGTGAAATTCTTCCAGATTTTCTCAGATTTCTTTAATGTTATTCAGAAAAAAAGCTCACTTCCGTAAAATGTTTGATACCATTTGATACCATTTCCTCTTCTCTATAGAAATAGAGTGGATGAACCATATCTATATTTGTTGTGCCATTGCTGTAGGCCTAAGTAATAAATGATGAGATCACCTTCTCATTAGATGCCAAATGATACTGTTTTGATGGACTTTGGTTTTGTGACATCTATTGAGAGTCTTGGTGGATTTGTTTTAAAAAGGTGAATACTGTATCAAAACATTAAGTGTACAAAACATTAAGAACATCTTCCTAATACTGAGTTACCCTCAGAACAGCTTCAATTCGTCTAGGCATGGACTCTACAAGGTGTTGAAAGGGATGCTGGCCCATGTTGACTCTGATGCTTCCCACAGTTGTGTCAAGTTGGCTGGATGTCCGTTGGGTGGTGGACTATTCTTGATACACATGGGAAACTGTTAAGCGTGAAAAACCCAGCAGCATTGTAGTTCTTGACACACTCAAAATCCTTCTTTAACCTGTCTCCTCACCTCCATCTACACTGATTGAAGTGGATTTAACAAGTGACATCAATAAGGGATCATAGCTTTTACCTGTATTCACCTTGTCAGTCTATGTCATGGAAAGAGAAGGTGTTCCTAATGTTTTGTACACTTTTGTATAGCAAGCAGCCTGTTAGCATTTTCCTGCCAGTGTACCATCTAACGGTTGAAATAATAGATTGGATCACTTTCCCCTGGGGAAACTATACAGGGAAGGTGCTGCCTGGACTATCAACACAATATGGGAGAGAGCCCAGTGTAGAGTGGAGAGTCCTCCTTTGTGGCTCAGTTGGTAGAGCGTGGTACTTGCAACGTCAGTGTTGTGGGTTCGATTCTTATGGGGGGTATATACTGTAAGTTGCTCTGGAAAAGAGCATCTGCTAAATGACTGAAATGTAAATGGGGAAGGGGCTGAGGTGACAGGGTCACACTCAGAATGTCTGCCTCAAGTTCCAAAATGTTGAGCTGTAGTTTCCCCCCCTGTTTTGGTCATTCTGTTGAAGTCAGCCAGTTCATGTCACATTGTGTTCTGCTGCAGCCAGGGAGAAGCTTCTCATCCTGTGAGTAACTTAGAGAGTGTGAGTGACTGTACGATCCTGTCAGAGAGATAGAATGTGTGTGACTGTGTCTCCTCATCAACTGTAGGCAGGCAGGGCAGTGGGAGAGGGGTGACCCATCCCACACACAGGAAGGGCCAAGGGAAAACAGTGATCCTTCATTCTGAACATGAAAAACTATGTCTGATCAAAGCGTGGATATGAAGGGTCATAACTCCTTGTTTCTTGACTTGTCAGTTGGGAGAATATCTAAGAAGGCAAATAAACAAACCATCTGAGCATCAGTCTGTTTTGTTTTTCAAAACGATCAATGTTATCTTGTTTGTTTTATATTGTCTCGTGTTTGTTTGATCCAAGTGAATCATTTTGTTCTGTATTGTGTCTGTATGTGTGAGTCAAGTTGATTATTTGTGGTGGTAATGGCCAACATTTGATTTCAGGAATGACTCACAAGGTGCATAACACCTTTTGCTAAATGTAGACAGACAGAGGCAATCATTTTAATAGCACTAAGTAAGGTAGACTACCATCAACACCTACAGCATGACACATTCAATGAGACAGATAAGTGTGTTTTCTAGCCTCTAACTAGTAATTTACCTTGGCATTTACAATGTATTGGTGCCGTCAAAACACTTTGACCTAGGAAACAAAACACACACACCTGAGTAATTCAAAATAAATCATCTACAGCCCAGCTACAGTAAGACGTGATACAGTGTATCTTGCGCTATTGAGTCAAACATCAGCATCGCACCGACTTTGGCCTCTGGTAACTCATATTGGTTGAGAATGGGTTGGGGAATACGGAATGATCCCGCCCTATTCAGGTTGGGACAGCGCAGCTTGAGAGTTGGAAGTTTCAGAGAAGGGAGAAGTCGCTGAAGAATGGACCATTAAAAAGTTTGACGGGTGTGAGAAGACTATTTCTGAGTTGTGGGCTATAGCTAATTTATCGGAATGACATTTTAGCGGGAATTACAATAACAGGCATATTCATATAGCTTACTTGTATGTCCGCGATAAAATATGGAATCGATGCCACGACGCGATCGGAGGACTGTTTGGATATTGAAGTAGGGCTTTTGAACCAACACATCTGTCAAGGAGCAATATGAACGTATCCATACTATCTCAAATGAAAATGTAAACAGTCCTTCAGGTAGGTCTAGGTATGACTGATGTTCATAATTTTAATAATGGACTATAAGTTCACCATTTCAAACTTTTACAGCGAACCCTTACAAAAAAAGATTACACCCTTACGAAAAAAGATTGCAGTCAGAGTGCAGAATAACTGAAGTACAGTATCCACTAAACTTATGCTCATCAATAATGTATTTTTGAATACAAATGCAAATGTTTTAGAAGTACATCAAGATGTAGAAAACCTGTTCTTAAATGTAATTCATGATGATTGATTACTATAGTATGCCTTTGTAGCCTACTAAAAATTTTCAAACTAACCTGAGGTGTGACATGACATTTGTCAGTTTATTCTTACCCTCTGGCATGGAATATCTCATGGTTAAATCAACATATAAGCGATTCCTTCAATCATAATACATTTCCTACTGAATTAGTGAAATACATTTTAATGCAGTCTATCCAACAGGTCCCTATAAAGAGTGTGATGCCGACAGTGCCAGATAAAGTAGTGCCACTGCCAGTAGATCCTCTGTCTACAGTCTGGGGTGTTGTGGCGCCCTCTGTTGTGTGACAAGGGAAGGCCAGGCCAGGGACAGACAGGATGGAGAATGTGTTTGAGGAGGGGATGAACCCTGTCATCGTTGCCCACTACAACCACTCTGGGAAGTGGGGTCGACCTCGGAGCAGTGCTGCCTGTAAGACTGTTGTCCTCCTCCTCATCTGTGTCCTCATCGTGCTGGAGAACGTCACAGTGCTGCTGGCGCTATGGAGGAACAAACGCTTCCACACTCGCATGTACATCCTCATCGGTAACCTGGCCCTGTCTGACCTGCTGGCTGGGGTGGCCTATATGGTTAACATCTTCACCTCTGGAAGCAGGACCTTCTTCCTGCCGCCAGCCCTGTGGCTGGCAAGAGAGGGCAGCATGTTCGTGGCCCTCAGCGCCTCCACCTTCAGCCTGCTGGCCATCGGCATCGAGAGACACATGACCATGGTGCGTTTGCGTCCGTGCGAGGCGGCGGGGGGGCGGGGGAGGTTACTGGGGCTGCTGGGGGCATGCTGGGCCGTGTCGGTGCTGCTCAGCGCCCTGCCCTCCCTGGGCTGGAACTGCCTGGAACACCTGGCCTCCTGCTCCACCGTGCTGCCCCTCTACGACAAGAGTTACGTGGCCTTCTGCATCAGTGTGTTCAGCGCCCTGCTGGTGGCCATCATCATCCTCTACATCCGCATCTACCGGCTGGTGACGTCCAGCGGGCGAAGGGTGAGCAGCAGGCCCACGGAGCGCTCGCTGGCCCTGCTGAGGACGGTGGTGATAGTTCTGGGGGTGTTTGTGATGTGCTGGGCCCCGCTGTTCCTGCTGCTGCTGCTGGACGTGGGCTGCAGTCCGGAGCGCTGCCCGGTGCTCTACCATGTGGACTGGTTCATTGCCCTGGCCGTGCTCAACTCAGCCCTCAACCCCCTCATCTACACCCTGTCCAGCAGGGAGATGAGAGCAGCTTTCTTCAGGCTGCTGTGCTGCTATCAGCCTCACCTGGAGGCCCCAGCCACCATGGCAGGCAACCCCCACCTGGGGACCGTCATCCCCACGGCAGAGAACAGCAAGTCCAGTGTGGGGGGAGGAGGGAGTGGGATAACGGGGGCTGCCAAGTCTCTGACCCGGGGGAAGATTGCAACGCCCCTGAACTCTAACAACCAGCATGGAGACCCCTCCACTCCCACGGTGCCACACCTCTCTGGGCCGGCCGACCTGTTGTCAGCGGTGCTGGTCAAGGCTGGGGCACTGCCCTCCCTCAGTAAGTTCTGACTGGACAGTATGCACTCTAGTAGTCTAGCCAACTCCTCTGACTATCATTGTCATGCCATGTTTGTCATAATTGGCTAAAGCACATCCAGATCTGGGACCAGGCTAGATTCACACAGCATGGCTAGCTGGCAGGCAATGCTGTGTGTGGGCATTGTACAGGCGTGAACACTGGGGCAATTTCAGTATGTACTTGTGAAAATAATGACAGAGGAGACCTTGGGTAGACACTTGGATGAGGTTTCTACTGATGAACTTGCTGTAAAGACAATACTTCACCAATGAGCCCACAAAGCGAAGGGCTGCTAAGGATCTACTCTATTTACCATAGCTCATCTTAAGCTGCTATTTTGCAAAGACATTAAAATGATTTACATTGAACCTTTGTGCCTTATACATACATTTACATAATATATCATAACTATGGAACACAATGCAAAATGTTCCCACAAGTCATGCAATAGAGCAGGGCTGTTCAATGTCGGTCCTGGAGGACCAAAACACTTCTGGTCTTCATCCTCTCTTTCTAACCAGAGACCGATTTAGACCTGGGACACCAGGTGAGTGCAATTAATTACCAAGTACAAACAAAAACCAGAAGGGTTTTGAATTTAACAGCCCTGTAATAGAGCAAATTATAGCTTTATTAACTATATATAGTGTGGGAAAAGTGAATTAATTGTAATAAACTGTTTATATGTGTGTGATAGAGGATGGGTGGTGTGCAAATGAAAGTAGGATCACTGTGTATTGCACACATTGTATTTTCCGATTCACCTGCCTTTCTCTTTCTATGACAGTACAGGATATTTATTTTCAATGAAGACCAAGGCCTTATCGGTGTTATGAACTGTGTGACAATCCTTTGTGTGTATGCCTTAACTGTATAGTGAGTAAAATATTGATTTTGTAATGATTTGAAGTTTACTGTCAGAGTAAAGAATGTGTCAATGTCGGTTCTGGTTCCTCTCAGCAACAGAAATACAAGCCACTCACACTTCTACTAACGACTAGTGAGTTAGGAGTGTTATATTGGAATTATTTAACCAACAATGGACTGTAAATTACATTTAAATCTTGAGTGGTGTGGCGTCTAAAACCATTACATACCAATTGAATAAAAATGACTCCCGCTTCATAAGCATTGGTAGCTTTTTGTGGTTTTGTATGTTAGGCTTTCATGTAACGCATTCTCAGAGCAGTTACTGTACACAACAACATTGCAGCATGTTTTCTCACAATATTATATTTTAATTCCATTTGCTCTAGTGTCTGTAGACATGACAGATGTTACATTTCAACTTGTTTTAGTTAAGGGCCATATTCCGAGACTTCATCTTCCCAACTGAATTATAACAGGGATCCTAATCCAGAGATAATAAACATACTATCATTAACGACACACAGAATAGCGGTATATTTTTATGGTTTATTAACTCTTCAGATGATACCATTTAATATCCTAATGGAAAATATCCAGGCCATTCATTCAACCCTTTCACACATCATATGGAAGCTATGCTTTCCAGAAATTAATGTTGCATATCATAAGAGGATGATGCATTTCAACAACTCAATCTGTTTCACACTGCCACCTAGTGGGGAAAGAAAGGAGTTAGAGACGGGAGGCTGCATCAGGTACTGCTGGAATGTCTATAAATGGCATGTTCATCTTTTTGTGAGAAATTACACTGGCCACTCAAAACATTTATAAAGTATAAATAGCCCTCACTTTAGATGAGGACATCATTATTAGTAAATGGTTTATAAGGAACTATATTAAACATCTTATTAATGATCTTATTAATCATTATTACATACTTTAAAAGTTGTTTATAAATATGTGAATAACTAGCTTACTAACATTTACAAATGTGGGAATTGTCTTTTTGGGCTCAACTTCAGCTAAATGGCAATACCGAAGAGGGCCTGTAGGTGCAGTGGAAAGTGTGCTTCCAGACTGGAACCCTGGGACCTTGATATAATCCTTCAAGAGAAACGACAGTTGTTGGTTAGGCTCATTATCAAAGGGAATTAATAAAGTAATTGTGGGTGTATTAATTGTATAACAGCAATTTAGAATGAAAGTGGCTGCATGGTTCTGAAGATTTGCAGCTTGTCTAACATTTTCTGACATTCCCTTTGATAAAATTCTTACCTAGGACTGACCCACACAACTCCAAGACTTGTTAATCTATGCTTTAATTCACAGACAGATACCATAATATAATATTCCTAATTGATGTGTTTAGTTTATTAGGCTCCCCATTAAGTACTGCACATGCACCAGCTACTCTTACTGGGTCCACAAAAATGTACAAATACATGGCAAAGTACAGAACAGTTATAGACAAGAACAACATAAGATATAACATTACATTAAAAATGAAAAAATGAAAACAAAATAAGAGTTATATATTGGAAAGACACCAAGAGACAACAAAAATACTATTTACAAACTATTCATATGTACTGTACATATTCATATTCTTATCTACAGTACAATTAAATTAGATCTTTAGAAAGAGGAGCAGCGCTGTGATACAATATGTTTTTTTAATCTGTTTTTTAAAGCTAAACTTGCTTTTTACCTGAGTAACCTCTGGTGGCAGAGCATTCCACGGTGACAAAAATGCTATTTACACACTATTACATTTTAGTCATTTAGCAGACGCTCAGAGCGACTTACAGTTAGTGAGTGCATACATTATTTCCCCCTTTCAAGTCCTCTGCACTTAGAGGGTTACGTTGTAAACGGTCTTCCTGGTTCGTCCATAAGGGCAGCCAGGGCATTTTCTTAGATCTGTCATATTTTCTTCTAAACTCATTAATGTAATTAGATTTTCTAATACACTGTTGCATTTCTAATACACTGTTGCATTGTCCCATGTATATAAAACAATTGTGCTATACATGCTTAACACGCTTACCAACTTACTGCTCTGGCATTTCCCCCAGATCTCGTGCTCTAAGGTGCTGCTTGGTTTGAATGTACGGAATAGATATTAGGAACTCATTCCTCCTTCTCAAATCTCCCCCCTCCTTTTGTCATGTCTCACCTCTGCTCTAGGCAAGTATCACCCCTCCTCCTCATACCTCAACCCCTCCTCCTCCATCCTCACCCCTGCATTGGTCAGTTATCACCCCTGCTCTAGTCAAGTATCACACCTCCTCTTCAAACCTCACCCCTGCATTGGTCAGTTATCACCACTGCTTAGTCAAACCTCAGTGCTTCTTCTCACCCCACACTCTTGCGCTCTTATATTCACAATTGGCTGAAATACATGCTACGAGCAGATTATTTCATTTTTCTAAGGCAGTGGGAGAACCTATTCATGTAAATAAATACATTTTGAAAATGTTAAAGGGCAATTCTGCCATTATTCAAGCTAATATTCGTTATCTCCAGCACCATACCAGTGTCTACCTATGTGTAAACGTCACGTTTCTATAATATGTGGTTAAAAAGATACAAATAAATTATTCTCTCTGACATCACAGGGTAGGATTAAAAGTTTTAAAAAACAATGATTTTCAAAACCTGCAATGAGTTTCTAGCCAGATGAAGGGTGTTTTCTTGCTCCCCACATCACCACAAATCTCATAGTGTATAAAAATCTATGTTTTACATTTTTTTTCTTTTTCGACAAAACGTCGAAATTCAACATTATTTCAAATATGTAGACACTTGTATTGTGCTGGAGATAACGAAAGTTAGGTTGAAAAGTGGTGGAATTGCCCTTTAAAAAACGATTTATTATTAGCTAGTTAGCTACCTACGGTAGTCCACTGTGTATGAGCTGCTAGCTAGCTAGCTAACTTTACTGCATAGCTAAGTGAATCAAATATCATAAGCTAGCTATCTTCCTATTAGCTTGCTATCTTAATATATTTATCATTGTAAATTCAAAACACAAGCTCCAAATGCATTTGTAAATAAGTAATGGAAGGGGGTGAAAGGACTGCAGCTCCAGCTGTCAGAAAAGGGAGAGAGTAGGCTACTAGGTAGGGCAGGTAATTTTGTGGGAAGACATTATGAAAATATTCTCCAGTTCCAGTCCCTAGTAAGGAAAACTATTAGGCAGATAGAATAATGAAGCCTGTTTCTTTGTGATGTTTTCTGTCCTCAGATACGGAGAGTTGTGAAGCCTACCCGCAGATGAAGAGGTCCCAATGAATGTCCCAAGGGTATATCCTTGTATACACGGGTTATACAGTCAGATCCAAAATTAATGGCACCCTTGATAAAGATGAGCAAAAAAGACTGTATAAAATAAAAAATACAAATACTGAGCTATGCTGTGGGGAAATTATATTATTTTATACTAATACAATTGCTCAGAGAAATATATTTTTTTCTCCAAAAAGATAGTAAAAAATTGGCAACCCTGTTTTCAATACCTTTAAATACCTCACCTTGCTTCAATAATGGCACTGAGCCTTTTTCTAAAATGTTTTATGAGATTGGAGAACACATTGGGGGGATCTTAGACCATTACTCCATACAGAATCTTTCCAGATCCTTGATATCCTTTGTCTGCGCTTATAGACTGCCCTCTTCAATTCAAACCACAGATTTTCAATGGGGTCCAAGTCCAGAGACTGATATGGCCATTGCAAAATGTTAATTTTGTGGTCAATTAACCCCCGAAGGTCGATATCCGCGCCCCCGCAAAAATCTAATTAGCATAATAAAAAATCCTCCTGTCAGTTTAAGCTAGAGATATCAGTTTTTTTGTATTGGATGCGTCTCAATCCACCGCATCCGCCTATGTCGCACTTCCATACCTGCAGTAAAAGGTGACAGAGCTAGAGCAGTGTTTGTCAGACCATGAGACATCCCAAAAATTGGTCTTCCCACAAAATTGTCTGTAGCGTCCGAATACGATGGTCTTCTCCGTTTTGCTCTATGACCCCCACAAGCGTCTTGGGACTCGTCTGAAGTCAGTACAGCCGATCTGCCAACTTCTGTCTCTAGCGTCCGAACAGTTTGGGCTACACAC